AAGTCATGCAGAGCACTAAGACACGAGTCTCCAGAACTTAATGTCCAATAATAATTACTCAGTTAGTCTGAAGAAATCCAAAAATCATAAAAGATACGTAAATTATTCTTAAAACTACACAAATACAATAGTCAAACCAATAAATGTTGAGGTAAAAAGACTACATTAATACCACTTGTTCCAAATCGGAAATGTAGGTTTATATTTCAAAAGACACTTTTATTACTTAAAAAAGTTGTAAACAAAAACATCTTTCAATATGTAAATTCTGAAGACTTTGGGAATTACTGCAATAAGTTGTCTGCACCTCTTGCATTAACTGCTTTGTTTTTATTTAGTCACTAAGTTTTTGTCAGTGCTACATGTTACATGTTTTCTAACCCTAAACCTAACCCTCCCTATGGGGACGATCCCTAACCTCATTCTAACCAACCAACTTTTATCTTTAACACAATAAACATTTACACATATTTGTGTAAATGTTTTTGTAAGCCTCAAATGCAGCTGTGTCTCAGTGGAGTGAAGTGAGGACCCTCCACCATCAACGTGCCTGTGAAAAGGCTTGTGATCAGGCAACACTTGTAATACACAATATTTATTAAACTGCATGTAAAAATATGAAACAACACTTTTTTGTTTTAACATAAGTCCATTTGGTTAGAAATTGTGTATGAAGGTTTTTGGATGGTGCATAGAATTATTGTAATTATTTTATCCTTTTCAGTTTGGTCACTTGACTGATGCAAACTACATTGTGACATTTGTCCAGCGCACTTCAAAGGCAGTTGAGTCAGTCCAACTCAGTTGGGTTAAAAATGCTGGTTGATCTAAAGGAGTGGGACATGTCCATATCGCAGCAGCTCCAGACTGCACTGGGTGACCCTGCCCTCTGGCTCCTGCTCCAGGGTAAAATATGAGCACTGTCAAACTCAAGTGGAACAGGTGTTGGCATGGCCAAAGTCTTCCTTGTGTAAGCTTGTATTTTGAGATAGGAACATCCTGTCTGTCATAGTATAATTCAATATAATTATAACATTACAGGTCCAGCCTTTGGAGTGTATCCAGGCCAGTTATTTAATAAGTTGTGCCCAGACTGGCCAGTCTATTTCTGCAGCCCCAGCTCCCACCAGGTGGGCACATTGCATAAAGTAATAGAGCATATACTTCATTCATTTTGAAACAGTAAACGACATGGGGGGTGATGTTGAGCAGATTTTTCTGTTATGGATAATAAACAGTCAAATTAAAAGTGAATTAAAATTCCTTACTTTACAAAATGTTTTTGTTTTCAAGAAAAAATGATTAATGGAATCAGATGATGAGGGTGGTCACATACAGGTGTCTCTGACCCTATTGCAAGGCTGACATTGAATCACCTGGATTTGTCCAAATGAATGATGGGAAGTCTGACTTCCCTTTTTCAAATTATAGGCCGATAGTCGAGAGATTGGTCTGAAGCAGAGTTCCCTCGTAAACAAGGACATCCTCAGAGAAGAGAGCTCGACTGTGCTCAAAACAGTAGATCTCTTGTGAGAATGGAATCAGATGGAAACATTGAAATGGGCTAATACTGTGGCTCAGGGGAGTGGTTCTCAAACTGGGGTATGTGTACACCAGGTCTCTTTAACATGGAATGTTCACTTGACACCCTCATGCAAAAAAACAATTTGATTTGTGTACAGGTAAAACCATCTGAGGAGACTTCTGCACCAGGATCAGAGAACTGAGGGATCTGAGGAGAGAGGAGGCTCCAGACCGATCCACAGGTCCATGAGCCAGACCCCACGGCTCCCAGTGCAGACGGCTCCTTCATAGGAAGCATTGCATGTTGGGCGTCTTGTTTTTTAAAAATGTATCTTTACTTATTTTGAATGGATTGGTTTTCCCTCAGATGTTTCTCATAATTTTATATCAAATCATCTCTAAGAAACAATAATGCTTTGTCGTTAAACTCCGAGGATTATTTCGCTGCCATGTTTCTGCCCAACCCAAAATCAGCTTTTGCAAAGAGAAAGTGCAGAGTAAGTGTTCCCAAATTAAACAGGGCAGAACATGATTAAAACATTGTTAGTTACTTTAATAAGTTATGAGAACCCTTTGTTATTTCAGTATATTTTTTATATACACTTTTGACTATGAAAGATTTTATTCAAAATAATAAATTTTGCACTGCCTTTTTCTTGATGAGTACAAGGAAAATGTCTAAATATGCTCAGATTAATAAATGTGGCCTAATTCAAGCAAACATCAACATATTTCCTTTTTCAGTGATCGTCCTGCATTCACAAACTGTGGTGAATACAGACGGGCCTCCCCTGTGTGGGGGGATGACATCACAGGCTACAGTCACTACAGTCGACAGTGGGAGTGCACCCACCTGATCCAGAAACAAGAGTTACGAAGTTCTGAAGTGTGGTTTTAGATGCAGTCATTGACTATGGTTTTGAAAGCACTTGACAAGACCTGAACAAAGGTTTAGACAACAATTAAGCCCAATTTTAATCAAAATTAAAGGTCCTATATCACGCTTTTCTTCATGTTTCACACTCAATCCTATACACATGTGTGATATTAATGTGTATGATACACCACACAACAATCAAAGCTTGTGAGATTAGAGCCATCTCTTGTATAGAGGTGACGTCACCTCGACTCAAACGAGCTGATCCAGAGAAGAGTCTGCTCCTCTGCCTGTGAGCCCGCCTCCCCCCGCCCGTACGGTGACGTAGCATCACGCTTTTGTCGTTAATCACCTGTACTTAGTAATTTCATACATAAGAATAAACTTTTTCCAACAATGACAATCCGTCACATCGAGCCCTATGTCCTCGATGCACAATCAGACCCTAGTTATTTAGTTTACAGAAGTATACAGCGAGTTAGCGTCACTACTTACAGATCGAGGGGGTCCGAGTTACGTCTTTTACCGTGGGAATAACGTGTTTCCAGATCAGCCTTTGAGTAAGTCCAGTTTCATTGTCTCTGTAGTTCTGGAACAGTCTCAGTGAAGTGTCGCAGATGAACCGGTATTATAATAGATCCATGAGATGAACAGATGAAAAAAGTCGAGGCGCTTTCTTCCTCTTCGGGCCAAATAGTGTGTCACATATTTACACCCATAACACACTTCATTCAAATTGACGTGATCCTAACACTTTTAGTTGCTGACAAAAGCATAAAAACAGCAGCTCTATGTGGTGTCCGGAGACCAAGCCACAGACGCTGGACTCGGGAGCCGGGCGCTCTGATTCGCTGTTTTGATCCGTCAATCACCTCCCGCCGGCTTTTAATTTATTTTTATTCTTATTATTTTTGACATAAAACAGCATACTAATTGTGTATTGTTTACCCCGTTTTGACAAAAGTATTTAACAACTATTTTAAATACAAAGCAAACGGGGTCATGCGCGTCATGCGCGTCATCAGTGTGGTTTTTGTCACTGAAGTGGACCCGAGCGTTTCTGTGCCTCACGCTGGGGAAGGAGACAAATTGCTCTCTTACAAAAGATTGACAGAATCAATGAATAAACTACTGTGGGCTTGTGTATGAAGGCCAAATAGCATTGTAATCATGTTTAAAGCAGAGAAAAGTCAAAAACCGTGATATGGGCCCTTTAAGGAAATCACAATTACCAGAACGAAATAAGGACTAAAGCAAGGCTGAACCAGGACTGAACCAGGACTAAATCAGGACTAAAGAAGGGAACCAGAGAGAACCAGGAAAGACAATTCCATGGAAGTTGGTCCATCTGTCACTGTGTGGTTTTGAGCATGTGAACTTGTGCATTCCTTTAAGATGATAAAACAATCCCAAAATGTGTTTTTAATTACGTTTGTTTGAAGGAGACTTTACAGCTCTCCTGGTTCATTGCTCCAGTTTAATCCTGTTTGTCTTGGGATGCACACAATCAACGACTTTGGCTCCACTTTGTTTGTAGAGATGTGAATGTGTTCAGCTGCAGCCGCTCATGGTCCTGTCACTTCAGTGGAAACCAGTGACATCATGAGGACGGTGTGTGTATGTGTGTGTGCATGTATACGTGTGTTTGTGTGTGTATGTATGGGTGTGCGCATGTGTATGTGTGTGCATGTGTACGTGTGTCTTTGTGTGTGTTTGTGCGTATGTGTGTGTACGTATTTGTATGAATGTGTGTGCGTGTATGTATGTCTGCATGTGTACGTGTGCTTGTGTGTGTGCATGTGTGTACGTATTTTTATATATGTGTGTGTGCGTCTGTTTGTATATTTGTATGAACAAGAGTGCGTTTGTGTGCGTGCATGTTGGTGCGTGTGTGTATAAATTCAGACGTATAATTGAACACAAAAACATTTACAGTAATTATGACTTAAGACTGCACAGGCTCAAACTTTGGGGCTAAAATAAGACGTGAACTGGGACTAATTCAGCAGAGAAACCCAGTGTGTGATTGTCATTGACTTGTGCACCCTTGAGTTGTTTTGGTCTGTGCCCTTGAGCCCGGTGTAGCAGGTGCAAGACAGAGTTATGTCTGCAGAGCTGAGTGGGACTTCCTCATTACAAACCGACAAACTGCATTTCTTACTTCATAATCTTGGTATTGAATGAGACGTATGTAAGTGCACAAGCTCACGGCCACATTATGGTTTGATCGTAGTCTCAGTTTAGTTGTTTAGTTTATATTTGATTGTAAAAGAGAAAATAAGAAGAATACATAAAGGTGAGTGAAAGCAGATATGTGTGTATCATAATGAAGCCATTGAGGAACAGTCACTCTTCTCATGTATTCACACACCTGACATCCACACCATGCAACAAATATAGCCTCAAGCAACGCATTTGATTATTGCAGCTATTTTTAGATTGCATTCTTTAAAAACGTTATCTGACACAGCATTTTCATATTTACCCAACGTGTTTTTCCTTTGGCAACTTCCTTTACTGATAATATCACTTTCCATTTTTATCTGTAACAGTGACACAGTTGTTCAAAGTCTTTTGGTTGTTTTAAGATTGAATAGGCATGAGGTAAATTCACACATACTGGTGAGAAGAAATAAGGTTACTCTACTACCATGTCATTTCATTTATCCACTCAAAGCCTCAGTGACATGTCTTGGTGCTTTTTGTTTCCTGTTTTGCACTAGTTATGTATCATTTTGTATTTAAATCATTCTAAATCTTTTACTTTGTTTTAAAAAAATATTATTATTATGTGTGAGTTAATTTATTGTTAACGTATAAAGTCATTTTGGACCATTGTTTTATTATTTATTTTAAACAATTATAACTGCCACATATAGCTTCTAAACACAATAATCCTGTACTGATATAGCTGACATTAGTGCGTGTACGTGCAGGAGTATGTTCATTTGTTTGTTTACATGGAGGTCACCGAAGCCTTTATTCTATTTTATTGTATTTTATTTGTCCACACAAAAGTACACCCATGAATAAAGAGTGCATCTTTAATATGGTGTCAGCTTTTCTTTCCATCACATATGTAAAAACAAAGTTCCTTAGGTTCCTACGTCTTATCATGGCTGACAATCCCAACAGACTGTGATTTTCTGTGATTCAGGGCTCACTACCCCCTCTTTGACAAAACTGCCATTAGATGAGTACAAACACAACAGTTAATGACAATAACCTTCTGCATATAGTATTATTTAAAAAATCCACAAGATTAACAAATAGTCCATATTTCCTTGTTTTCCTGGACATTTTCAGAGAGGGTTCAGATCACCCAGACCATTGATACACCAGCCCTCCCGAGTCCAGCCCTTTGGAAACTGTTTATGAAATGTGCTGGACAATTAAAGAGGATTGGATTGCATATTCTACAACGACAATATTGCCCAATAGTGAAATATTGCACGTATGCAAAAGGAATTACACTAACATGTGTGAGACCAGAATAATAGTAAGGACTATAGCAGTACTAGCAGTAACAGTATAATAATAACAGTGGTGATAGTAGTAGTAGTAATCTGGCTCGTGTGAGTGGGTGGGAGGGTAGACTGAAACAAGCTGTGTATAAGTAGTAGTAGTAGTAACAGTATTAACAGTAGTATTCTTTTCTGGCTCGAGGGCAGATAGAAACAATACTGTGGTTCTTGCTTCACGCGCGTCAACGGAATCCCAGAGTGCGTCATTGCGCGGATGCTCTGGCTAAAGACGTCTGTGATTGGCCCCCGAGTGGAAATCTCCCGCCCACCGCCCTGCCTTGTATGGAAACACATCCGCGTCATGGGAACAGTCAAACACACATACTATAAATGAGTGAGGAGACATGAGAGGTGCACTCAGCTGCAGAGACGCGCCTGGAGATGCTCGGCTGTTGAATAAGTTACTATAGTTTTACCATTTCATCAGGTAAGAGAGCATACATGTTATAATTGTCTTGAGCAGAGTGGCTGAAAGAGTTTGCAAATATTATATTGTTTGGTAATTAATCTAATTATGTTATGACAACAAACTGATAGCAGGACAGCAGTGCAAAGCTATGTTTAGGCTACTCCACGTGAAATGTATAGGACATATCTGTATTGCAGCGCACACCTTTTGAACTTATGGCACGAGAATATTGTCTTTGTTGTAGAAACTTTGCGAGAACGATGGTATTATTGCTGACTGTACGTTTGAGCGTTATTAGACTGGCTATTGTTGTAAGCGGTAGTTGTATAGTAGTGGACTTGTAATTGTAGTTTTCACTCTGGCTGGTTTGATAAAGTCATTACAATTACATTCTAAATCTAAACCTTTATTGCCAGTGTCCCTGCATGTTAACACACATGTAGGGGCGCCTCCAGCTCTGATACTGTACAGTATCAGTGGCAGTCCACCTGCTCAGGTTTAGGCATAGAGACTAAACGAGCTTGATTTTACCATAGAAACTGGCAACCCAAATGAGAGAAATCTTGTGATGCTAATTCTGATTGTAGAATAATCAGCTTACATATCATATTGAATGTTAACATATTGTAATGTGGCCATCATGTCCATTGCGTTTTCATGAGACAAATCCACACACTAATTTGGGTCAGAAAATGTTGACCTTGTGTTTGGTACACAGTAAAAAACATTATATTTTGAAATTAAAATCCTACATTCTGTCCATTTATGTCATGGATTAATCACAAAAAAAGATAATAACAGACTTAATATGTCATTGTAAGTCTGTAACAACATGTATTATGTCAGTCTTACTAGTAAATTTTTTTCTCTTCACTACTCAACCTGTTCAACTTCACATTTTGTATACTATGTACTATATGTATTACATGTATGCCTTTGAGAACATATCGATAGATCATTTGGTCCACTGACAATGGAAATAAAATATCAGTAGTATTTCCTCTTGAGGAGATGCCAGCTAGAATTATGGGAACTATAAATGATAATTTTTACATCTTTTTTTTCCCTTGCAGCCCAAGGAGCGATGACTTGCGTGCACCCTCAGCTTTCACCTTACGACCTCAGCATGTTCAGTGTGGAGTCTTCCGAGTTTGTGTCTCGAGTTTCAGCGGACTCTTGCAGCCCGCAGGACCCGCTCTCCTCCCAGTGTTTACCTGCTATCGGCTCTTTAGTTCGGCCTGATTTTGACACATACTCGTGCCAGTTCACAGCCAGCCCTGCGCCTGCCACACACAACGCTCCCCCAGTCGGCGACACCCAGTTTTTACTCGAAGATGTCCAGGTTTTTGGATGCTACTCCGGTTCTTCGGTGTGTTATCCCAAAGAAGCAATGTCCCCAGTGAGTTCTGACTATTTCAGCAGTCCTGCATCCACGTCCACCCCTTCCACGCCTGGTTATCTCACCCAATCTGTCTCTATGTGGGATTCGGCTTTTGATCCATACTCTCCGACTGCTGGATACTGGGCAGTGGAGGACTCTGCAACATCGCATGCTCCAGCTTTTTTCACCTTTGCACCAGAGTCGATTGAACAGTTTTCTCACAGTTTTGGACACGAGCAGCACGAGACATTTCAGTTACCCAGCGCTCACGCCTCATCTCTTGCGTTTCCTCCAATGGGCATGGAGCAGTGTAGCCTGGATGGAACTGAGCAGCAAGAAGAAAGCTCCTCTCCAAAAGCCAAAACCCCAAATGAGGGCTCGTGTGCTGTGTGTGGGGATAATGCTTCTTGTCAGCACTACGGAGTACGCACCTGCGAGGGATGCAAAGGTTTTTTCAAGGTAAATGTCTTGATCAAGATTAATTGATTTCAGTTTCATGCTTTAGGTCCCATGGAACTGGCTGTCTACTCAGGTTGCAGAAGTAAAATTCACCGTTCAAAATCCAGAGTTTTAAGACACAATGGAGCCCAATTATCTAGGGAGATATCCCCATTCACCATCAGCAAAAAAAAAGAAAAAAAGTACATTTGAAAAGATTTTGTGGTCAAACATCTTTCAATATATTTAGTCTTTATGGGAAAAATATATGCATAAAATTGTGGAAGCAGAAAGGGGGCAGGCACTTTGCAACTCCATTGAGAATACTTTGGAAAATAATGCTAGGTTTGAAATAACAGCTTCAGCATTTTGCAAATACATATCTGTCTTCTTCCCCACATTACTTTGTATCTGATAAGTTCTTCTCTCGCTAACATTTGACACATTCCACAGAGAACTGTACAGAAGAACTCCAAATATGTATGTCTGGCCAATAAGGACTGCCCTGTGGACAAGAGGAGGAGAAATCGCTGCCAATTCTGTCGCTTTCAAAAGTGTCTTACAGTCGGCATGGTTAAAGAAGGTGTGTTATTGTTGATGTTGTATTTTTAGATGTTGTTGTTGCTCCCACACAAAAGATTAATAGTGTTGGTCAAAGAGTGTGAATGACTGAATATTGGCTGTGCTCTCTGCAGTGGTGAGAACAGACAGTTTAAAAGGTCGAAGGGGCAGACTTCCTTCAAAACCCAAAGCACCGGACTCAGTGGTGGCTTCGTCTCCTGTGAACATGATTGCGTCACTCGTCCAAGCACATGTCGACTCTAACCCCAGTGTGGGAAACCTGGACCATTCCAAGGTAATTTCAGGTTTAAAAACTAGACTTTGTAGTGTCTAAGAGGCAGATATGTAAACAGTTTTTCTCTTCAGTACAATGACAGTACCACAGCAGCTCACAAAGCAGAGACCCAACACGTGCAGCAGTTTTACGACCTCCTGAGCTCGTCCATGGAGGAGGTCCGGACTTGGGCCCAGAGGATCCCGGGGTTCACAGACTTTTGCCCTGATGACCAGGAGCTTCTGCTGGAGTCTGCCTTCATGGAGCTCTTCGTTCTGCGCCTGGCCTTTAGGTGAGTGCAAGTTTACAGAGCCAGACTTTAAGCTGCACACCCAGAGACTCACTGATGTGTCCCCCTTCAGATCCAACCCTGACACAGGGAAGATGGTGTTCTGCAATGGGCTGGTGCTGCATAAGACACAGTGTGTTATAGCGTTTGGCGACTGGATTGAATCCATTCTTGAATTTTCCCAAAGTCTTCATCGCATGAAGATGGATGTCTCCTCATTCTCTTGCCTTTCAGCCCTCATCATAATCACTGGTAAATACATTAGTCTCACATCTATAGCTCTAGTTTCAGAAACAGCACAGTTAGCATATGTTTTAACATGTTCTGTCTCTGAAGACCGACATGGCCTGAAGGAGTCCAAACGCATCGAGGACCTGCAGAACCAGCTGATCAGCTCTCTCAAAGACCACGTCTCCACCTGTGGACTGTCTCTGCAGCCCGGACACCTGTCCCGGCTGCTGGGGAAACTGCCTGATCTCAGGACTCTCTGTATTCAGGGCCTTCAGAGAATCTTTTACCTCAAACTAGAGGATCTAGTACCACCACCGCCGTTCATCGAGAAAATCTTCATGGACACACTTCCATTTTAAGATCTGATGAAAACAATGTGCAAACTTGACCTAAGACACAACGTCTGGCTGAACAGTGGTGGCACTGGCAGCAAAGTGGAGCCGCCGCTGGAGCGACTGCAGTCAATACCGAAAGAGAACATTTGTGACAGATGCTCTGCCACTGCTGCCTCTGACTGTGGAGGACCTGGGCACCTTACCTCATCTCTGATGGTGTCCTGTAGACTGTGTGCAGCAGTAAACCTCTGTATAAACCACTGCCCTTTGAATGTATGGTTTTTGTTTATCATAAAATGAGCAGCTAATTGTTGTTACTATTTTTGCACAATATAAATGTTTCTACCTTTTTAACTTAAAATAAACTTTACTAGACTGTTAAAGTACTTTTGTCTACAGTGTAGTGAGTTGCAGACATAAATCCTGAGTCAAGAGATCTATTTTTGGCACCAGTCACAAAATACTATTGAGAAGCGTCTCTCATTCACCACCTCCCATTAAATGTCCTAAGCTTTTTTTAGCAGGTGGAATTCCCTCCTTCACCTCTCAGATAGCTTTTGGATACACATCCACCCGACAAATATATTTTACACCCTGCAATTACTGCCAAAGAACTTACATCATATTTATGTAACTTACTGTAACAGAATAGGACACAACAGAGAAATATGATTTAACCATGGATCTATAATAATAACACAGACATGATGCATCAACTACAACTGTCCAATACATAGAAAGTGTAGAGCACTGCCTGGATTCTACTAGTACGTCTACAAGATATTCTGGTAGGCCTTATAAATACACCAAGTTAGATCTATAACAGGGGTTATATTCACTTACAGAATTAATATATTTTTTAGAATGCGGAAACGATTGATAGTTTTGTGCATTTGATTGATGGCAACTTCATTGATTTTTTTTTTCTGTGCACATTGTATTGTTATTTCCAAAATTGGGGTGAAAAACAGAAAAGCTACAGACCCTCTGGCAAAATTGTATTAGCAAAATTACTTTATGGGAAATGAGGAGCTTCAACTGGAGTAATTCTAAACTCCACCCTTGCAATAAGTCTGCACTTATTAGAGCAAACAGGTCCAAACTAAGGCCCTTAGGCACAATGTGGTCCTGTGTGTATTTTAATTGGCCCTTTGCCTTGCTCACAGTTGTTTTTGAGATCATAAACACACGTTTACAGTGTCAGTCAGCCAACTTCAGTTCAGCCAATACCTTCATGTTGTAGCTTGTTGTAAAGCTCAGAACCTGTGGAATTCAGCCGTTGACATTATTTGTATACTGGCATGTAGCTGGTGAGATGGTCATTTGTCATTCAGCCAATTTCATGCTAAAGTTTGGCTGCGCTGCGCCAGAACAGCCCAGAACAGTCAAAACAACCTAGTTTTACAACCCGGGATGTTGGCCCCTGGATAAGGCTTGCATTTGACCATCCATGATGCTAGGATGTTTCTGCACACGTCTTACCATAGACAATACCACAAACTGGACAATACCAATCTTCATCATATTGAATCTATAGTCATTGCAAATTAAATATTTACTTGTCAAATGTATAAAATACTCCATGGATTCGCATCTGCACCACAAACTGAAATGATACAATTGAATCCGTTTTTGGTGTTGCTACAAGGCCAGAGGTGACAGTAATATTCCCTGTTTGGACAATTTGTTCTCTCTGTTAGAGGCTGTCATAATTGAAACAGTATCCGCCACACTAAACCAAGAACTCTTAACCCTAAACCTCTACATGTGCACAACACTGCACTCACTAGACCATGAGTGGACACTCAAATATATGTTGTCACTTTGTACATGTGATGTAGAGAAGTTTTAAATGTACTAACCTCTACTATCTGTACTAATGTCTTTTGATGGCATCTTCACACCTTGCCCAGGGCCAAAAGTTGAACACTAAAATTTCAAGAGAAAAAAAAGACAAATACAAGGAATGTTCTTGTCCAAAAATCTCTCTGCATTTGGTTGTCGTCACCAAAGACATCCGATTTATCTTAAAGTTTGGTTCAAATTTAATACAAACTTGAACAGAAAACCAAAGATGTGGCTGTATGCTGCAACCAACCTTGGGGTGCTCTTGTAAAAAACAGAAGCAGTCTTGAGAAATCTAAGAAAAATAGAACGTGAGCAGCTCAAAAATAAATAAATAAATCGGAATAAAAACATATTTACGGCCAAAGTCAAAATCAGACTGTCTATATCGGCGTTTACAAGAAAAAAAGCAAAATGACATTTGGAGGATTGTAGGTTTGAGGAAGGGGCAAGTTAATAAAAAAAACATAAAAAAAGACAAATGTATTTACAAATGCAAAAGGATTCTTTGATTCACTTTCTGGAGTCTTATTTCTCCCTCTTTTCAATGGTGTGACATGTTCAATGCCCTAAAGTTTGAGCAGAGTCATTGTGATTATCGTGTTCATAAACCTAAGCCATAGGGTAATGATGGTTGACCACTTTCTTCTGACAATGGTTTTGAAAGTTTGTAAAGCAAACTTGGACATCAAGATGGACTCTCTGCTCCAAAACATTCTCATAAAGTGTTATACCCAATCTTATAAATGGGCCATTTTGGATGAGTCGTATGTTGTAACAGTTTATGGGAATATACTTGTGCTGAATCAGTCTAAAAAATTTATGATAGAAAAATCACTCTTAAGTGACCCCACTTTAAATCTACTTCTTATTCTCTATCTCAGAAACAGACTTATGCACTCCCATCTCATCTATTAAAGTTTTTCTACATAAAAAGGCATTTAACATGTCAAACCATTGGCAAGAGATAAGACTTCAGAAACTGAAGCAAAGAAGCGTTTGGAAATAAATAGGACTAATAAGTTTCCTATTTATTAAAATAACAGGAGTGCAGGGTTTTAGGTTGTAACTCCAAGTGCAAGGATGATTCTAAATATGTACGACACAGCCATGAATCAAACCATTTCATAATCATAAATATAGGAACAAGAAATGTTTGCACTTATGCAACAAGGGAAAGGATCATGTTCTAGTTACTCCAGAGTGTACTAGGGAAGGTTGATATTGATAGTGCTCATTCACTGACCTAAATCTAAAAAAAGATAGCATAAGTAAGTGTTAGGCACCGCTTATCCAATACAGACGATTCAGCAGCATTGCACTGATTTTGGTATAAGTGTCCTGTCCTTTTGTTGGAATGGCATTAGTGACGCTGTGTAAATAGCAAACAAACAAGTCACAGGACAAATTAAGTCAAGTGCAATTAAATTTCAAAAGTATATTAAAAAACATATCTAAAAAGTATTTATTTTTGTAGCGCTACATGTTAAAATAAGCATCTTTAATTTCACAAGAAGCACAGCCTGTGGTTCAAGGGCAGGTGTGTGTCATGGTGACACTGAACACTTTAAAACCATAGACAGCACACTGCATCCGGCCACTTTCATGAGAGCACACCAAGAAAAGCAGTTACGCAACTTCACACGTTACAAACAGAGTAGGGTATGGATAACGCCGGTCGCCAGCGAGTGACTAGAGTCCATAAAATACTGTTAAAACAAACTACAAATAGCGATAAACAAATATTATTGCATGGACTTTTTTTTTACACAGCTCTTAATATTGCCAAACTGATTTTGCGCATCATCTGTTGGGGTGACTGAGGATTTTGTATCTAAAGATTATGAATACAATGTTTTAAAGCACACTTTCACGTGCACACATCAACTGATATTTCAATGCAGAAAATGTGCTGAAAGTAGATACCCGTGCTTGAAAATTTTACCTTTTATTTAGAAGTAGTCCATTACAATTTCCTCTGGTCCTGTACACAACGCATCGACTGAAATGCTTGCCTGCATTCATACTAACCCCAACACCAGAACCTCCAAAGGGAAACTACATCTTCCAGCACCTTTTCAAAATGCATGAATGAATTGTTGGCTCTTACCATCCCATGTGATGTAACAACACTGCCATCTATCAGCCGAGCAGAAGACAGACAGCTACATACGCTGCCCTTTAAAATGTTTTATTCATCAACACACAAAAACATAACCATCAAAAAACATTACAAAAATAAAACCGCATCCCTCTAGTTTACGTCATAGCTAAATAGGGAAATGTTCTCAGTACAGCCATAAACAAAACTTGTTTGTGTCCACAGGCATAATGGAAATATACAACGGGAAATAACGCTGATAATGAGTATTGAAATAAATGAACCTCTTTCAGCAGCAAATTGCTTTTTATCAGTTTAGGTTATCAATTCCAGTTGAATCACCCAACCAGGGCAGGGAGTTTGGTACACGGGTCTCCGGTCCCAGCCGATTAGTGGGCCTCATCTGTCTACAATACAGAAGAAAAAATATATATATACACTTTAGTACATAGTTTGGTGAAGTGATAGATCAAAAAGCAGCAAAATCAATAGTAAAAGACATTGGAGCTGGAAAGCCTCTTATTAATGCATCCGTTCTTGCTCCGATACTTGGATCTCACACAATTTGGTTGTTATTGCAAAGACATTTCAGGCATCTTTGAATGCATTCATTTCCAGAAGGTTGATGTTGCAGAAACTATAGGGTTGAAAAATAATCAAAGAAGCAACCATCTATCCATTTTCTTCCCTTTAATCCATTTCTGGGTCAGAGGCACCCCGTACACACAGCACCAGCCCCTCACTGATCCTCCTGCAGGTGGAGAGCCCACAGGAGCTTTGATCTTTCAGTGGGGGCTTCAGGCAAAGTGGGGTTAAGAGTCTTGCCCAAGGACACAAATGACAGCAGACATCAGTGAGTCGTGAAGTAGGTCTTTTGGTGGGCTCGAACCCACAACCTCAAAGGCCAATGCTCTACCAACTGAGCCACTGTCCGAACATTACTTTATGTAATGAGAATGACGGTACAGACAGCCATTTTAGTACATGGTTAATACATCAAGAAATTGTTTTAAAAAAATCTATTTACTGAAAATACACTGAAGGGCTAACTTTTTGAAAAATGCTAACAAAGCATTTAGCATTTTACTTTGGACCAGAGCAGAGAAAATGGTCCGCTGCTTTGACCCGTCCTGCTCCACCCAGAGGTTGCACCGCCTCTGCTGCTGTGACCTGAAGTGCCATTTCTTATTATATTTTTGCTGCTACTGAACCCCTGAATTTCTTCTACGGGGACCAATAAAGTATCTATTTAATTAATATTTGATGTAAACTGAACTCAAACCGTGTTTGTGAATACAGGCAAAAGCTGATCAGGGGGCCATAGGAACACAGTACGGTACACTGGTGCTCCTACCTTTTTAATTCTGGTGCACGAGAACTGCTTTAGGTGCACCAGACATTAAACATATCCTAGTTTTCAGGTAAATGAGGAAATAGTAACGCCTTACCTGACATTTACAGCTGTATTTTCTCCCCACACAAAAGGAGTTACGTAAGGATCAGCTTCTGTGAAAGCAGACATACAACATTCACATTTGAATGCCACATGGAAGACGCAATAAACAATCACCTTCCTCCCAGTCCTCGCTTAGGTTTGGGTTCACCCATGTGCTAACAGGAACCTGCCAACTCATGCCCCCTTCTCCATCTGCAAACAACAAAGTGAGATTTAAAACCAGTGATTTCCACAGTCTGTGTGGAAAACTAGAAAACAGCATTTCTAGTTTGTAACAAACACACCCCTTAATGAAGTCTTTCTCCACCTAATGATCTTGACCATGTACAATATCTTAGTACAGTTAATACATCCACTAATTGTTAATGAATAACACTGACAATCTTCAATGCGAGATACGCAAAAATGTATATGAGTCAAACACTGTAGATGTGCTGCAACTCCGTTTCCCCGGTGTGAGCTGCAATTATGCTGCTGTTGTGTTTTTGGTACAAGTTTGCTTCTAAAAAACAAACAAAGATATGATGTAAACGCAGCCGCACCATGAGGCTACCGTTAGCGCATAGCACCAGCTGTTTGCAGCCAGTAGAGAGGCTGTCACTGAAGACCTTGTTTGTAATCTGACGGGATTTGCTGCTAAATGCGTTCGGCCCCAAGATAAATGGGACACCAATGCTAGCAGGGAAGTGTAATAATCTCCACAAAAGGTAAACAACATCTATTTTGCTATTTTCCTGTTTGCTTTTCCTTCTGCATTATCCAAATATGCATGTCAAAATTGTGACCCTTGTATCAAATCTGGACTTTTGTATCTCGAGCTATAGCCCTAGCTAGGATGCAACATTTTAATCAGGTCAGACGTTCCCATTGTATTTTGGCGGAAATTGATGAAGACTAGATAATGTGAGTAATGATTTTACAGGCCCCATGAACATTTTTGTCCAGTAAAACTAGATGATCATGTCACCAGGCACAGAGTCCACGGATATCCGGTCTTCACAGGTCTCTGTATGATGGTTCAGTTCGTGTTTAGGGACTAGATGACGAGCATTGAATGGGCAGGTTTTCAGCTCCTTGGCCAGTTTTGGGTGATTCTAGAAAAAAGAAAAACAGTGGCTTATATATATTCTTGTTACTCCAAATACTCATCAGCCCTATTATCAGGAAATAATGACCTGAATCCTGCCCTGATGGAGTAGTTTTAGTTGGAAGTGTATTTTCTAAGTCCAATAGTGCAGCCCTAAATTCTGAGGTACTTTTCCTGCCTCACAGACACTCTACAAACCTTGCGGCACTTGATCAGATGGTAAGGGAAGCGGCAGGCTCTGATCTGGTGGTTTTTATCAAAAGGGCATTGCAGAAGTCTTTCCGGGTCAATGTTGCTCTTATCATCTGGAAGGAAACAACATCAGTTGGAATTCTAATATTTGTAGTAATTACTAATTAAAATATTAATATTATACCATTAATAATATATTACCATATTGTTCCGCTGTTTTGTCTCTGTTTTCCATTATGTCCTCTGGCAAAAAAAGGACAGTGCATCCAAATCAGAGGTTGGTAATGACCGAGTTTAAGTGCCACGAATGTAGGATGGGGCTTAAATCAACCATTGTGCTAAACGTTAGGTTAAAAACAACTTTAGCATTCAAACTGCTCAGCTTTCACAATGTTGGCTGCAGAAGCTTATCCATTACCAACAATCATGCATTTAACTTCCGCCAGAACCTTTTTTCACTTAGCAAATAATAGATCCGTGGTGTTAAGCTAACTAGCGTACAAGGCTAAACACGCGTTAGCAATCTTAATCAAACAATGGCCTTCTCTAACCAAATACGGCAATATACACAACATTACATATTAGAAAGGCGTACATCGATAGGATACTGTAGGATAGACTCAAAGCCAAGTATTTTACAAACCCAACCTTACACGATGCTTTGTGGCAATGAAGCGGATGCGTATTTTAAACCACGCGTTTTTAAAATTATCTCGCGACAACGTGAAAGTAAACACGCCACAGTTCATTAATCTTAAATAAATACAATTCTGACAGCGTAATATTATTTACATTAATAAAATGGTGGACTTAAAATATATTCTAAAAATATATAATATGTTTTTTTAACACTCATATGGTTCACATCATGTGTCATAATTCTACGGTACTGCTGTCCTGAAAGTATTACGGTAATGGATATCTGATTGCGCTGTATATAGAGAGCTTACGGTAACGCGGAAGTACTCAGTTCAACATGGCGCTGTCCAGCTCCAGCCTCTGCTCTCACCTGTCTTTGGTCAGAATCTGTGGTTTCAGTATTAATAGGACATCATACAGCCTTTACTCACCTTATGTGTCCCGTCAAACCAGGTAATTGTACAATCTATATGTTGCATTGTTCGTTAGTGTCGTTGTTTTCCCAGTATCCTTGAGCTAACTTTTGCACACCTGCATGCCATTGCATATTATTTTGTGTATATTTACCTCTTACTATCTGCAAAATGTGGATGTGTGTATAAATAATGACAATGATAATGTACGTTTAGTAAAAAGATGCTTTTCTATTGTAGAATATTATTTCACATTGGGTGTTTGTATATATGAGATATCTATATCTATTATCTAAACAATGTTTGTGGTTGTATTATTTTAGGTTGCCGCTTGGTAGACAAAATTACTCTACATCCAAAGTAAGACAAGGAATTGGTCGTTATGTTTCTTCAAAGTTCCAATTGGTCAACACCAAATATGAAGACTTTCTCAAAAAGCGGTTTCCTCGTTTTTATCTGCTCCATCACACATTGTTGGAAGGTAATGTCACTAGATGCGTCTATATTTGCTTGCACATTGCATTTAACTTTGACATGATAGTATAGAGTGAAAAAGTTCATTGTAAAACTCCTAATGATTGTTCCTATATATCTCTTTTTTACGTCTATCTTATACACATTTGAGACACATTCAAGTGCATTCCTATTTCACATGTCACGCTACTTATCAAATAATTATTTCAAATTCTACGTAGATCTGGCAGGAAGGTTTTATAAGGTACGTTTTGTTTCCTATGGTTAAACCATAGACTGTATATATTAAAGGTTAAACGCAGTCATTATAGAAAAGTAACTTATTTGACCTGTAGAAGTAACTCTTAGCAAACTTGAATGGCTTGCCCCTTCTTGATGTCATGTATTATGTAATAGGAAGAGATGGAGTCAGCCTGATGCAAGGACACCATCAAATAATATATTGTTGTGACATGTTGATACTAATGTCTGTATTTTTTTTACAGGGTTTAGGTTTCTATTTCGAGATGCAAATGAGGTGAGGAGGATCAAATCAAAGCTCTATAATGAACGACTGCACTACAAAGACTTGCCATACAGGGAAATGGAGAAACTTCGACAGGTACGCCGCAATATGTCATACTAGAACAATTTATCTACTATTAATCAAATAACTTTCCCATTCATCGTAAAGAAATGTGCATTAACAGTGTTTGCTTTTTTCCTTGCAGTTTCGCAGGGATTTGATTAAAGCTGTTCCACTGGTGTTGATCTCAATCCCTCCATTTGCAAACTATATAGTTTTTGTCTTGATGTAAGCTATGACTCATCTCTACAAGATTAGAATATAAAAATAGTGTATTTCTGTAATTCAACTTAATATAATATAACGAATGTATTATATTGACCCACTGCATGCAAAGTGACATATGTTAAGCCTTGGTTTGAATGTTGATCTTTACAGCTTGTATAAAAAAAAACCATCTTCATAAATTCAGATTAAAATATTGTGAAAAGGGCCACACTGAAGTGTAAGGGTCCTTCACAAGGAGTGTTCTGAGGCTGGGGTCAAAAGGCATCAAAAGCCCCCTCATACTTATGGATTATGGACATTTCCAAATGTTGTATTTCTTGTTAAGCTGCTCCTGAACCACAAACATGTGTCTAAAGAATGAAATATATTTCATGGTTTTCTATTTTTTGATTGCAGAGATACAAATTGCATTTTACCATAATTCTTTTTGTAAATGTAACCTTTTATAAATGAATCCATGTTACATTGATGGAAAAAGTAGGACATTCTCTGAATAAGGACAATGGACGATTGTCTTAAAAACCTACCAACCCTACCAGAATGACATAGTGCTACCTTGATATTTCTGTTTCGGATTTTTTTTTTCCCATCCTGATTAATTTTGTTTTGACAGGTACTTTTTCCCGCGGCAAGTCCTGATCCCACATTTCTGGACACCACAGCAGCAGGTCACATTTCGGGGCATATATCACTCACTGAGAGCACAGCACTTCCCTTCTGTGCTAAGAGGACTGGAGCATTCGAACTCCAAAGTCAAAGATCGATCACTACAAAAGCGCCTTAAAGACCTTTGTGCCAAAGTAAGAAATCAACATAATGGGTTATTTATCTCTGCAATTAACACTCCCCTATTTGGCTTGATTCAGGTCCAAAATGGTTCTAATCCTCAAGTAATGGAAATACTGGGTGTCCGCAGCCTGTTTTCTGGGCCTCCTTTGGGCATTAACAGGTTGCACTCTGAACAAAAGGTTAGTTGTTATGAATGAAGCCAATTTAGGCAATGTATGTTTCCCAGGAATCTACAACACACCTAGGCTATGTTGGTCCACTATCTGGTCCACAGAGCCCACAATGGATCAATATGTAAGATACAGGGAAATTAACATCCCCTGCTATAACCTGGAACAATGCACCTCTGTAAAAATAAAAGCATACCAAAAAGTACATAAATACATACAAAAAATGAAAGCATACCATACTATAGATTGCATTGATGAATAAAAGAGGTTGAATATTAAAGAGGTTGAATATTAAAGAGGTTTAAATCGTGTATTTTCTGCAGAGACAGTTGAGTCGGCTGCTCTTCCTCACTCCTCACCTGCCTTCATTCGTGGTCGGTCGGAGGTTGAGCAGTCACGCTCTGGAGCTGCTGCACCTGGACCGTGCGCTCAGCCGCTTGGGACCACATCAGCTCAGTGACACCGAGCTCCGACAGGCGAGCATTTAGAGCATTACAATCTAAAGATGCTGAGATTCAAGCCTGGACACCATTACTGCTAAGAGCTTGCATTTTAACCACATTATTGTTCCATCATTAGACACAGACCTGGAGGTGCATTTATCTTCATCCAAACATGTTTTAACCGCATGAGCTTGCTACACTAGTGAATGCTCCATTTAGAATTTTCCAAATCTGTGATATAGATTTTCCCGAGCGCTTTTGGCCCAATCACTATCCACAGGTTCTCTTTGGGTTTAAACCGTGTCATTTCATTACACTCGTTTGCTTGTTGGCCAAGGCGGGTCTTTTTCTCTCATGGTTTATTCTCAATATTTGACTAGATGGCATGTGTTCAATCAAAGTAATGTCTTTACACAGCAATGTGCGTTAATACATATTGTAGATCTATTTATATATGTTGATTAGAATATTTTTTTTGTAAAAAGCATTGTATATGAAGTTCAGATGATAATGTTACATGTATTTTGATAACTTATACTTCTGTTTCCAGGCTTGCTACGTGAGGGGGCTTAACTCTGACAGCTTGAATGCTAACCAGTGTCATGACTGGTTGTCCCAGTGGCTACAGGTTTCCATGACACTAAAAGGTACATTTTCTATTATGCTTTGTATGATACTCAAGGTCAAAACCTGTCTCAGTTTCTGTCTTTGTATTTTTCAGACTCAGAAGTGTCACTGCTTTTGCACAATATGGTTTTACTATCAACCAACTACCCGCAAAGGTCCAAACAACACTGACGTCTGCATCAGACTGGGATAATCTTGCTAAATCTAAAGCCTTTGTGTCTCTTGTCTGTACATAATGTGTATGTAGAATCCACATATATTCACATGTTTTATCAGGGCAGTTTCTACATAACTGTAGAAAGGTAACGGGCATTTTATGTGGCAGTGAGATTGCGATCAAATGTTTTAAAACAATTCTTGTTGGTAAAAAAAAAATCCTTTTGGGTAAGAAAGCAAAACCTGCAAAAATTAAGGAGTAAAAGAAACTTATCAGGATTATTGCCAATAGATTTTTCTCACTAAATGACAAGATTGCTTTGAGTAAACCCAACTGAAAACAAGTACTTTAGTTAACTGAGATCTCGCAGTTTATTCCTTCAGGTGCAACAGGACTTTTGTTTTTTTTTGTCAGAATTGATACTGTTGCTGTTTCCAGAAGACTTGCAGACACTCCCCACAATGTTGTATCTGACATGAAGCATGTGCAATGAATAGATTTACATAATCATTTGTAACCTCAAAGGCTGATGATTGGCCCATAAAGAAGCACTTTCTTTACACTATTGAACCAGATTTTAACAGATCACAGATATGTCTGGAGATGGGTCCCTGGGCGCTCCACTGCAGCAACAACTGCTATTGACCTGTTGCCAGAGTGGTGTTGAAGGATGAGGGCAAATATCGAACACCATAACTTTAAATCAGGCATAAAGTGAAAAAGTTAGGAAGTATGAGGCCAATTACCTGTAGGTCCAGTCCACTTCAATTGTCAGTATTTATATAAAATTCTCCCCCCAAAAAATTCTAACCTTGCACATAATGTTAGTTCAGTCTTGTATGAAACCAGGTGAACGCTGGTTTGTCAAAGTGATCGCAGAACTAGACACATTCCATCTGTTAAATGATTTTCACACCACATGTCTTTTTTGTTTACAACATAGCACCGTATTGTATCATCTTGACTTTACCTCAATTATATTTACATACTTTAAAGTTTCAATATATATTGTCTTATTGAGGGGGATATTGTACTGTCTACAGCATGTAGTTTTGAAGGTTTGCCAATTTAACTTAAAATTAGAAAATTTTACAAAAATAATGTATTAAAACAGTGATATTTCTGCATTTGGATTGGCACATTTTAGAGTTCATCATAATGAGTAGAATGAACATGAATCAATAGATATTTTTGATGTTCAGTCCTTCTCTTGTCTGCACTGTGAAGAGCACAGATTACATGAGTTTCCTTCTACACTGTTTATTATTGGTGTTCGTAAGTGGCTTCTCCTGTAGAGGTTATAGATACAGACTCTACCTACTGGTTTAGTGCAACACAGCAGTTTGAGCTGTCTAAAAAGAAAGACTGGGCACTTTATTTGATGTTTACTCGGATATTCTTAGTTTGACCTTAATACACAATATTTACATTTCTGGAGCGTGCATGTTGTGCTAATGCGTTGTGCTTTTTGTCCTTGAAGATACAATTCATGCCCAGCTGTATACTTTGTTTCGAATGTATCTTTTGTTGCTGTGCCAAAGTATAATATAAAAAAGTGATTATATTCATGGTGTTTGTGATTTCTTTAAATAAAATCCACACATTCCTTTTTAGAATTTTTAATAAAATGGTAAAGCAACTACCACAATCAATAACCATATAAAGTGTCTGACATAGAAGAATATTTCCTCCTACAAAAACGAACATACAAGGCCGGAACTTCCCCAAGGCGTATCAGTTTTTCTCCATGAATAAGACTTTTGCACCAGTTTTCCTAAACGCTGCACACTGTGAAAAGTGAGACCAAATTCTCCAAACATTGCACTTGACCTGTGCGATTTCCAAATACATTTACTAAGTATCAATCATATGGAATCGACATAAAATCCCAGGCTGTATTCATTTGGAATGAATTAGTATTTTTCTTCTATATTATATATTATTTGCACAGAAAAAAGCTTGATCTAATTATTTATTTGAACATGATACACTGTAAATTGTAAAACATTTTATGCTTCTCAAAACTGCACACAACTTTTAATAAACTCTGGGCTCAAAACTGAAGTTTGTCACAACACATTACACACACAAGCACAACACAGCAAAACTATACACTCTGATAATAATCATTTTCATAATTAAACTACAGTGAATTTACTCAAGATGTGCACGAACTAGACGTAACTGTGTTGAACATGAGGAATGTGCTCGTGACAAAAAGCTTTGAGAAAAACTGCAAGACATAGGTATTAAATATGTATAACCATGTTTAAAAAAAAAAAAACGATAGTGTAAATGACAAACTTTTCCCTGTTTTGGAAAAAGTGGAAGAGTTTGAGAGCTGTGTAACAGGAATTTATTCTTGGTGCAATGAATCACATTCAATGGGTCTCATTCATTGAGAAAAATCTGTATATGGAAATATTTGAAAAAACAATATTTGTAACCATTTGTAAGGCAAAACAATATTTATGTGCAATGTGAGATGTGAACATTAAACAAGTCTTTTAGCAAACTATAATTTAAAAGTCAAATTTGCAAGACCAGTGTAGTACATCACATGACTTCATAGCCTCTCCGGATGCCTCTCATCAACAGGCAGGCAAACACCACACCCAAAATCTAAGGGGAGGGAGAAAAGGAATCAATTCAAAGCGTTATTTCAAAGCATTTACAGTGCTCGATTCAGTAACTTAAGGAAAAAGTAAGAATGCAGGAGCATTATGTTATGCGTTTGTACTTGAAAGTATTGACGTACATAAAAAAAGGATTTCAGATGGATTTATTTTGGCATGTTTCAATTAAACTCTGAATGTGCTAAAATAACCCTTTACACTGTCTTTGAGAACAAAAATCTAAATAAAAACACTAAATTACTTTTATTTCGGGTTTCTTTACTTTTACTTAAGCAATTTCTCACATTCTACCTCTGCCCAAAAAGCATTTACGTTATAACTTACCTGCAACAAGGCGATGATGAGAGCTGCGACTATGATCCACTGGATGTTGGCCTTCAGAAGGTCCTCCACCTTTTCATGGCAGCCCTGCACAACACGCTGTATTTAACAAACTATTCCCACGTCACAAATGAGCACAGAATTTCTCCACACTAGAAGAGTGCAGGGCTGACACGCGACTCCTGAAGCACCACTGGCATTTTCAACAACAACTGCTGCCCAGCTGTCTCCGGCTCCACCACGACATCCGAGACTTAGCCCAGGACACACAACATACTATAGTCCTTTTATCCAACTGTATGTATACGTTTATATAGAGATCAGTGCATGTCAGTGAAAATATACAGATGCATCTTCATGGGATATTATAACAACATGTATTTGCTTCAATCCATTGTTTCTGCCGTTAGTTAATGGTTTGATTAATGGATTTTTCAGCAGATTTTACTTTTATCTACTTCTACCCCAGGTGTTTGAACAGAATTTTTCACTTCAGTTTTTAACCCATTTATATATATTTTCTTAAGTAGATTTATATATAAATACTTTTTAAAATGACAAACGCACACTCACTCACAGCATCTAGTCTGTACATACAATCATATCACTCTACAATTCCTCTTGCTAAAAGATATTTCTTTATAACTCCAAACTTTTACTAGTCAACTATTAAAAGAATTGTTATCATTTGCATCACTGGGCTTGTCAAAAAAAAGTTAAACAGGAACATTGGCATATCTACACTTTCCATTCAGTCTTGTTTAAATATTGTAACACTTTCTGTTGAGAAGTAAAAAGAGATATTGGTAACATGAAAAACATGTCCTGCTTGTGGTTCTTGTATTAGTTTGAGCTTATTTCAGATTCCTGACTCAATCACTCTCTGCTCATGCCACAGTGTGGTTACCGTCTGATAAACTTTGGAGCTATCGCTCAAGGTTCCACGTCCACACCCCTCAGTCTCGGTGATGCAGCAGGAGTCCGGCACAGTGTTCCCTTCAGCAGAGAAGCTTCTCCAGTCGGCCGAGCTGTTCACGCCACAACATTTCAACTGAAAAATCACAAACAAATCTTAAAAAATATAATGTAATTTTTTTTATAGAGAGGAAGAAATTGCACTTCTCTGGTTATTCTTTTTTGAATGTTTGACCAGATTTGCATGATTAAGAATGTGTATACAAGTCCTGAATGTAAATATGTTTTCATGTAATACTAAAGACACAGTGTGTGCTTGTGCCAAACAGGATGCAGAGTGTTGAGTGAAGGTGGTGTCTTTATGTTTTTAAGCTCAGAGTAAACTCACATCATGCTGAAGTTTGTCCACGGTGTCTCTGAACTCAGGGCTGCTCGAGTTGTAGTTTGAAATCATGTCAGCAAGACTGTCCTGGACCACATTAGTGACCTACAACCATCACAACAACAAAATAAACAATGACATTTGCACATTCATCGAGGCAGTAAAAAGAACTTTCAAATAAGCAAGAGAGCTTCTCTCACACTCACTTTGCCTCTGAAAACGTATCCAGCGATGGCAGCTGCAAACTCTGCCATGATGATCAGCGCCATGAGAGTGGCAAACTAAGACAGACAAGATCATTAATAACTCATTTCAGAGGGGGAAATGCCCAAAGCAAGGTGGTACTGAAGAGCCAAAAATATCTCCATTCTAAGTGTGCTTAACCGTCCTGTCCAAGCGGCCCAAAGCGAGCCATGGAGAGGAGCAGCTTCCGGTGAGGTCTGGTTTTGATGTGGGGATGGATACAGAGCTGTACCTTTTGTGTACTCTATAAATTACTGCATGTGACAACTGGGCATAAAAATCAATGTTATTAATATAATGTTAACGCAGTAATGGTTCTTTATTGATTTGAATATGCATGCACTTGTTTACTAACCTATCCTAACCACTGATCAGGGGATAATTTCCTGAAGTCAGCAGCTCAAGGCTAGTTCCCCTTATTGTTCACAGACAAGCTGAAGACAAGAGCACATAGGAGCTTAGAGAACAGAGCTCGCCCAAGATGTTTGTTTAAAAACAGCTTGGAGTGCCACCTTAACGTGGTGGGGGAGTTTGAGTACTCTGATGATCTTGGGAGCTAGGTTGTATGGGGCCTGGAGTTGGGGCTTGTACGAGAGCGTCCTGTGGCCGGGCCTTTGCACACGGGGCCCGGCTGGGCTCAGCCCGAATGGACGACGCAGGCAGGCCCTCCTGTAGTCCCACCACTTGCAGAGGGATCCATGGGGGAAAGGCGCTGAGAGGACTGGGCAGCAGTCAACGGCGGAGACCTCGACGGCCCGGTCCACACACAGCATCTGGCTGTTGGGACGTGGAACATCACCTCACTGTGGGGGAAGGAGCCCAAGTTTGTGGGGGAGGTCGCGAGATACCGACTCTAGATAGTCAGCGTCACCTCCACAGACAGCTTGGGCTCTGGAACCCAACTCCTTGAGAGGGGTTGGACGCTCCACTTTTCTGGCATTTCCAACATGAAGACGAGCGGGGGAGGCCATACTCATTGACCCCCCATCTCAACCGCCACGTGTTGGAGCTCTTCCCGGTGAATGAGAGGGTCACGTCCCTCCGCCTCCAGATGGGGGACAAGTCTCTCACTGTTGTGACGGCCTACGGACCTAACCGACGTGCATAGTACCCTGCCTTCTTGGAGTCCTTGGGAGGGGTACTGGACGGTGCACCGACCGGGGGCTCCGTTATTCTCCTGGGCAACTTTAACGACCATGTGGGAAACGCCAGTGACACTTGGAGAGGGGTGATTGGGAAGAATAGCCCCCCCTGATCTGAACCCGAGCGGTGTTCAGTTGTCGCACTCCTGTGCTAGCCACGGTTTGTCCGTCACGAACACCATGTTTGAGCACAAGGGTGCTCGTGGCACCAGGACACCCTAGGCCTTTGTTGTCATGTCATCTGACCTTCTGCCGCGTGTCTCGAACACTCAACAAGCCTTTTCCCTCAACAGTTACCATAGTCATCATGCAGAAGTTCTCTTTCCAGGCGCCACAGCAGCCGAAGAAGGCGACGAGGAACACTATGACTCCCAGGGCAATGAGGAGGATTGGAGCTCCAGAGGCAGAGGCATCTTTAATCATCAAAGAACTGTGCAGAGACACCTGAACCAGGACGCCCACTACGATAAGAGCCACACCACACAACTGCAACAGAAGCGCAGGAAACAAGAATTGTACACTACTACAATTGACATGCAAGTGAAGAGAAAGTTGAACATATGAAAATACGCCCAATTATAATTAACATATTTCAAAGACATGGCAATTAAACAAGTATAACCAGGGAAATGTAGAGGGCTGTGAAAGGCCATCAATAACAGCTTCCAAAAGAAAGGATTCTTAGCCTGGCTGCAGCCCATCTTTAGCCCCGCCTACATAACATTTCAGCACCCACTGGAATTTTATGTAGGCGGGGCTAAAATGTGGCTGGTTCCATAGCTCCACGGCCCCCAGTATTGAGGTCCATTTTATTCTTTTTTTATTAATTATTATTTGATAAGGACACTGAAGAAAAACATAATATTGAGTATAGTTGAGATTTTGATACAATAGGAAGAGTTACTGTTAGAAAAATACAAAACATTTTTGACATTGCGCACAGTAAACACATTTGTTACGTTTAAGGTTGTTTTTGAAATGTGCAACACTCAGGGAGTTGTTCTTACAACACCTTACAACACATTGATTCTTACTCAAAAGTGGTTAGTGACAAAACTAAAAAGAAAAAGGGATGTGGCAACAGAGTTGCTGTAACTGAATGAAGAAATATAGTATATAGTCATGGTCCTAGGAGTGTAACAGCCAAATCCTTTTTAAACACGGGAGAGGGAACTGTTTGACCAAGATCCACTCAGATCAAACATTAAGCAAATAGGAGCTACTGTACTCAACAGAGACAAATTGACCAACAGTCTTTTCATTTAATATACTCTAATTTAAAACACTACAAACTTTCACAAACATTTGTTGGAATCCCATATTTAATCTCTGCACTGGAGTGGATTGTAGTAGAGTGTGCTTCCCTTCCACATCGATATGGTGATAACATTTTGATCAACTAAATTAACACAATGAGTGTGTGTATGTTTAATAATCTTTTATTGTAAATTATTAACAAACATAGGATTGTTGCATCGGCTGATCAGCATGGTAGATCGGCTCACTTTGCCAATAACTGAACATTGATATTGATCTCGGATTGATGCATCCTTGAAAAAACAATGTTATCTTAACTGCCACATCAAAACGGCTCCCAGTAAAACCTGCACATAAAGTTCTGTGTACTCAGTGGGCTCCAGTTTCACATGACAAGAGTTAACTGAATAATCAAGGCAATGCAATGCTTCTTTTTTTGTGATTTACTAATAAAATCAATAATTTCATTTATTATAAAGTTCTTTGATTAATCGGAATTAAACATTTATTGAAATAGTTGTCAACTAATTAGTAATCAATTAGTTGATTTTTTTAACCCTACACAGAGTTAAACATTCTGAGAAGAGGTTTTATGACTAGGATAATTCTGTACTGCAGAGAAGGAAATTAAAATGTGTTTACAATGTATTTTAATCAAAAAATTCCATATATACCAGATCATCTTTATGAAAATATCCTCAAGGAGCATCCCTTATTTGTCACTTCATTTCGATAAAATGGAGAAAATATAGTCCATATCCACTGACCTGAAATAATTCATTATCGAAAGAATAATCAGCCAACTAATTCATTATAAAAATAATTGCTATTTATAACCTTATAATAAATGTAATCATATGTTTGTCAGAAAAAGTGCCCAAATCTTAATCCCCTGATACACCAATATTACTTTAAACTGGGGTACCTAACTTTTTGTCTAGTCTTGTAAAAGAAACATTTGTGAACATTCACAACATTTATTTTTCTTAAGTAGAGAATTCTTGTGAGAAAGAGCCCTCACCATTTCATGCTTTGGGTTTTATTGAGAAAGAGTGCTCCTCCCTAGTGATACAATTCAGGCTGTAATTAACATTCTCTTGATAATAGATTAGTTGCAATTAATCGATTAACTTGTAATAGCCCTTGATCGAACCAAAAAGATTTTAGTGTGAAAAGAGTTAGATGGATTGTATTACATTTTGTGTGGTTTGAAAGTTACGTACCTCTGCTGTAGTATAATATAATAGATTTACTTATATAAATATAATTCTCATGTATTTTAGTTGAAAGAATGGGCATTAACCTATTACCTCATGTGGAATCTGATGACTGATGGTCACAAATCATGGGTCAGGGTTAGCATGATGAATGATGCACTAATGTGATGCAATACATTTTTTATGAATGAATCTAATCTTTGTTTTATTTAATCAAACTGCAATTTAAATAGTTTTATCAAACCATGTTTATAGAAATGTTGCTTTTACTTTTGTCATAGGTAAATGTTATAAATGAATTTGACATTTGGTAAATGGAAAATTAATCTATCAGAATATTAGTACAACACAGCCCAAGCCACAGAAATGTATAGGGGCCAGTTCCTGAGAACTAACCACTCCCTTGTGGTCAATATTTGGTTATCCTCACTCATGTATAAGCAGAACGACTAATGTACCACACAGCAGCAGGGAAAGAGCAAAGCACAATACAAATAATATGTAGCTTGGGGGTTGGTGAGAAATTATCACAGCAATATTGGCTATAAACCAGGTCAAACATGAGATTCTGGACTTGTTAACTTTTAACCGTAGCTTATGAACCATCTTGTGGTTTATAGGAAGAAACCAGACGTGTCATTTTTTACAATGGGTCACATGATGCAGTTACACTACACAAATCCAGTCATAAGACCAACATACCATCAGCGCCACCTCAGCTGTGTGTGCTCAGATAAGGTCATGGCAGGAAGAAGCTCCCTGTTCCAGGATATGAGCGGTCAAATCTGACTGCTCTATTAGTAACACAACAGAACTACGCCTTTCACTGATCAATATGATCATGCATTAAAAATATAACAAAAAAACTTAGTTCCTATTCTTTTAAAAGACAAAACATGGAGTCATGTCATTTTTTAATAGTATACAGTATACTAAAATTATCGTATTTACATGTACTGGGGTTTCAGCTTCCTGTTATGTAAGATTCTGATTATTTTAAATCACTATGGCAACTTCTCATAATTCTGACACCCATGGTATTTGTCTGGTAGTTGTAGTTATAATGTTCATCAAAATAATTCTGATAAGATTGTGATAATGCAGGAACATCTTTCATGATGTAGGTCCCCATCAACAAAAACAGTGATAGAATTTCCCTGAATACAATGAATATCCCTACTAAAAAGTACATAAAGGAATAGATTAGATGATTAAAAATGAATCCCTCTCTGCAAGTCTAGGTAGTATGCCCTCAATTGTTCAAAAATAATCAGGAATACCACTATTCACCGGTTCTTTTTACATTTGAAACTGTGATAATCTGAAACAATAACAGAACACGAAAATGTAACAAACCAAAAAGAGTGGTTTTTGTTATTGAGGCCATGCTTACTTACCCAGAAAATAAAGTTAAACAAGAAAACAAGGTACTTGATGCATTTCAAACCACCCTCCACAGCCATGGTTGAGTTTGATCAGTAGTCTAGGAAAGAAAGAATGACACATTAACATACAGCTAAATACATTGAAATACGTCATGTGGATACATGGACACATTTCCTTCAGTCTATGGGAGTGGATCTTCTTAGATATATTTTTCCACAGATGGATGATTGGGGTTTTTCCTTTCAGAACAGCTGTGATGCCTTAGGACATTCTTCAAGTTATTTGCTTTATGTTTGATTACGGTCTGGAGATAATGTTTGAGCAAATCTCAAAACTTATGAAACCAGTGCTACCATATTACGCCATTCAATAGACTTAAAACACAACCGAGTATAAAAGCCTAACTCTGTGTGACGGTTTAACTAACACCAATAGACCCATGGTTTACACAGACTGCAGCACCTATGTTTACTAAAGTGTGCTGATGCAAAAAGAAACATGAGAGTTACTACAGTGAATTAAAATCTAGTTAGATATCTGCGGTTTTACAGCATATCAGTCATTTTCAAAGTGGCAGTTGTCACGACCGAGGGACCGCTAATCACCGCGAACAATACGCGCTTTGTTAAAGGCTAAATTACAAAATACAACCAAACGCCTCCGTATTATTAGATTTCTTAGCTAAACCTCCGATAATTTAGAGGGTAAAACAGAGCACAAACACAGCTTTACTAACATGTGTCTTACCCATTCGTCGGGCATAAACGTGAAGTTAACCAACATAAAAGACTGCTTTCTTTAGAACAAACACGAAGAAGCCGTTAGCGTGACTTTTCTCGATCATCGCCAACATTAAAAAGAAACGTGTCGGATCAAATCTTCGTGAACTTTTACCTTAACTATAATGTAGTCGTTTAGAGGAAATAAAGAAGAGCCACAAAGCCGTACCTTGAGAGAGATGGGTGTTTCGGGTCAACACAAAGACGAGTGAAGTCGACGAAGTGGCTCCGGCTGAAGACACAAACTTCAGGGGCTCCTCCCTCCGCGCGCACTCCGCCTGTACCGGGGTCACTATGGCAACCTGGGCACTGCTTACGGCTCCATCACTGAAGCGAAAAATACACAAATAAATAAATAAATATTTTTTTTAAAACGTGATATTAATAATGAGTAATGTAGACATTCAATGAAAACGGATCAGATTTTCTTTTAATAATGAGCCATGATGAACAATGTTTTATCAAACCATGATCATATCTGCAGCACCTCTTCGTACTTCGTAACAACCACCCTTATGATCCCCTTATTTCACGGTGTTAATTTAAGATAACATAAATAAGATATACCTTTATTCGTCCCACAGTGGAGAATTTTCAGCCATTAACAGCAACACAACTATAATTTATTTATAGTATGGCATATGGCTCATACTCAAGTATTCATACAGGACAGTGCTCTTGTCAGAGTTGTTCTATCCTCATTTTAAACAGATGCCTAATTAGATTACATAGAGAAGTGGAGATAAATAGTAAAACATTTTTTTTTAAATTGATTAACAGCACAACTTATTAAAGTGAACGCTAATATGCAAAGCTATATTTTTATATATCTATATCGTTATTACACTATTCTCCTTTCTTATGGTAGGCCCTAGACACTGAAAGATGGATCAAATCCAGAGCAGAGGAAACATTTCCACAGATACAATAAAACTTGTTGAAACGCTTCAAAAAAATTTTTTAACCAATCAGCCAGTTTCTAGGTCATTTATATATTTCCTGACATGCCTCTTTTTTGCCACATTTAACTTATTGTTCTGATCATTTTGAGCAGAAATGGAGGATTATTGTTATTGGTTAACTGGCCTGTCCATCAGGAAAATTCCCAGGAAGAGGCGGGTCTTACGCTCGTCACGGCGTCATCATGGCGGGATGCATGAAAGTGATGAAAGACTGCCACTGTATGGCAAGAAAACTGTTTGTTTTTGTGTTCATTCTGTATTGTTTGCCCCAGTCATCTCACCAAGATACCGGTAAGAAATACTGCAGTAAAAACATTATTTTCAGTAATGGTCACTTCTTCGCTTACGATCAGGCTAACACAAGTTAGCTCACGTCTTTCTAATCCCTGTTATGCTAAACACTTCAGTTCGACATATCAACGTATAATAACAAAGATAGAGATGTTACTAAATGTCACGTTAGTAACGTTAGAGGAGCCTAGGTTGGTTAAAGCTTTTATATGTAGCTAACTAACTAGCTAGCCAAAAAAAAAAAAATGCAACACAACCACGCCTTCCTATTTTCCTTTTTCTACTCTGACTGGTTTGTTAACTCTGGCTAACGCTAATGGTTTAAAGTTTTGTTTTGTGCAGAGTGAAGTTATATCAATGCTATTTATTTTATAATTATTCGCTTTTGCATTTTGCCTCATTAAGTTGCAAAGGGGTTATTTTTCCAGAGAGACTTATGAATGTTGTTCATTTTCTGTTTTACAAATATCCAGTTGTCAATCTCAAAGATGGAGTAGAACAGGTTTTCTCTGGTTCAAAAGTCCTCTGTTACCAAAATCCAATTACTCCTACATGGAAACATACATGGACGAGAATTCAGGTGGGCCACACTGTAAACACATCATAATTGATCATTTAAACTTTGCACTGACATTTAGAAAGTGGTTGAAAACATGTTTTGCAGGTGAAAGTGTGGAGCTCAAAGCTCTTCAAAGTGCACAATGTGGATGATGAAGAGCAGCTGCAGGAGCTGGAGCGCTGGAGTGTGTGGGGCTGGGTTCAGAGCTGGCTGCGTGAGCGGCATAATGAAACTTCCATTAACATTAACCTCTTCAACAAAAAGACATGCCTTCAAATTGATCCAAGCGATGGAACAGAGTTTACCGTCAAATCCTTTCGTAGTATGCTCAATGATTATAGTCTTGTAACAACAAAATCTTATGTTCAATTTGCAATTTTTGCTCAAAACTCCTCTCTGTTGCAGGATTTGATATCTATCTGTTTTTGGTGTTCCTCACTGGAGGCTTATTGTTCATGTTTGCAGATTCCCTCAGCAAGTAAGTGCCTTTTTCAGCATAAAATATTTGGGTTTATGGTTGGACTGTAACTATTTCAGTAATCAGTTATTCTTAATATTCTCTAGCAACTCTAAAACTCTAAAAATGTGCTGAAACACGTTTGACTCGATGTCACATATTTTATGATGAAACATTCTGGAAATTATATCTAATTAGAATGTCCTCTGGTGACATGACTCTAGCTTTAATATTTGAGTTTCAAACATTGAATTGATTTCATCAAAGAATAAATGCTAGATGAATCAATTACCAAAATTAAGTTACAAGCCTAGTTCTATAGAGGTTCAATCGACCAATCACTATTTATTACAACATTCTTTTCATGCATAGAATCCAACACAAATGGCTTTGCTGTTAAAAAAAACTGTCCATTGACCCTCCCATCCAACAGATCCACCCTAAATAACCCACAAACGGTCTAATTCATTTCACTTTCCATACGCATGTTCACCCAGACAAAACATTTTAATATAGAGTACAGAACTATAGCACAAGTAATGACATGTCTGAGTATGTCTGAATGTGAAATGAACAAATGGAATAGGTAAAGCGCTAAATGAAATAAAGATTACCATACTTTCTTGTAGGAGTGTGACGATATATCGATTTTTCGATATATTTCGATACTTTCTCCCGCGATCGAAATGCATTTGCCAAGTATCTATTTATTTTTATTTTTTTTCAATTAGTATTAATACCTAATACATGGCTACATTTCACGTCTCCATTCCATTTATCATGAAATCAAGTGTATTTTTTCACTTCACATTTTTCTATTTTATGTATGCCATATATTGGCATATCATGGTATATTGCTGACCAATATATCGATAATCGTCACATTGTGATATAATCGTTATCGTGAGCTTTGTATCGCGTATCATATCGTGAGGTACCCTTAGGTTCCCACCCCTACTTTCTTGTATGCGACACCCCTTCCACTTTCAAAATGGAAAATTTGCTTTCGAACCCAAATGTCTAATATCTCATTAATGCACTTGACTCTATAATCTTGTTAGAACAATTAAGTCTTCACTGACAACACATCTTAAAATGGACATCTTGTTTGTGTTTAGCAGTTGTAAATAATGTAATGGTCTGTGAATGAATACATTTTTCTTTCACTTTAATAATTAACGTGCAATTCATCGCATTGTGTGTTATTTAGGAGTCAACTTTTTTATTACTCTGCTGGCATGAGCACAGGAATGATTGCATCCCTCATTATTCTCTTCTTTGTGTTGTATCGCTTCATGCCAAAGGTAAAATAATAAAGGGTTTATAAATGGGTTTTAACCATGTTTTTTCATTGACATTTTGTTGCTTGTTCCACAGAAAGGCCCCTTTTACCTCCTTGTTGCTGGTGGTTGGTCCTTCTCTGTTTATGCCATTCAGCTTGTCTGTAGAAATGTTCAGACCATTCTCAAAGATCACTGGCATTTTGCTTTAGGTACAGGCATTTGATCTTGTTATTATATCACTGTTTAATGAAATTCACAGATGGCACTTGTAGAGCTTATCTAAATCATTAGCTAGACCTTTACTTTTAATTGTTTACTGAAGTTTTATTGCTGATTGATTAATATGGACAATGCAGCTGTTTATAGGAGGACAAATATATTTGCATCTCACTTTAACAAACTATTGCAAAAGGTGTTTAACTTCTAAAACTTTAACTTGCAGTAAAACATTGCTTTGCTCTGTTCAGGTTATGTGACAGTTGTGGGGTTCATCAGTTTTGCAGTCTGTTATCGATACGGCCCCCTGGTGGATGAAAAAAGCATCAACATATTGTCCTGGACTCTTCAGCTGTTGGGACTGCTCCTCATTTATGCAGGCATTCAAATCCAGCCTGTCGCTTTTGCCATCATCTTGTCACTTGTGTTGGCCAAAAATGTGGATTACCCCGTGTCTCTGGCTCTAAATCTCTGGAGGTAATGTCTCCTGTGAACACACAGTGGCACTATTGTATTGTTATTTAACAATTAGAAACAGGCTGTCAAGTGTCAACTTGATAGGTGCAATATAAGCCATTTGTCAGTTGTAATGGATAAATATTCAATTACCATTATAAAGCCAACTAGGAGTTACATTATAGCTCATCTTTATTTACATACTTTACTTTCTTGCAAGTTTAGTGTATTTAAAATTTGGGTGCCCGCCTCACTTATGTTACTTGAATAATTTGTGCCCTTCTCGAGACTTCAACTCTGTAAAAAAAAAGGAAATATTAATCAAATTGTTTCAGTGTAACTAAAATAAAAAAAAATGCAATAGATGAAAACAAAAAATTGCCTTTTGAGCAAATTGTGGTACATATCCAGGATTTCAAATAAACTAAGAAAACAAAAACATCTCCATGAATCACTAAGATGTGCAAGAATTGTTTGCGCATCAGAAAGTAGCTACATCCCGCCTCACGTCTAGTGAGGAGCTAAGCACCTTCATACACTTGTCTCTGTGATTTGATTGAGAGCCCGTGTTATGTGCAGGAAACTGAGGCGATTTGTGAACTGTAAGCCAGAGCCGCGCCGCCTGTTGACCGAGGAAGAGTATCAGAGGCAGGGGGAGGAGGAGACGCGGCGTGCCCTAGAGGAGCTGAGGAAGTACTGCAAGAGTCCAGAGTTCAACACATGGAAGACTGTGTCCAGAATGCAATCCCCACAAAGGTGATGATATAATCTGCAAACATCAGTTTTTTAGTTCTACTCTCATAAGTTAATAATTATTGCATATTTGAATAATCATTCCTTGAACATGCATCAGCTGCTATGACTGCTTTTCCTGATTATTTACAGCTGCAAAACAGCAAGCAGTGCATACTCTTCACGTTTTAGTTAAAAACCAGGGGGAAGGTTTGATGCTAGTGGTCATCAGGCTGTTTGATCTGAGAGTTGAAGATAAACACCATTCCCATTATTACATTTTGAAAAAGCAATAAAATTAAGGCTACAATCTCATTTATATAGCTTAATAAAGACTTGTGCACTGTGACGCACGGCATCAAACAATAAAACTATGCACAGTAGTGTTTCCACTTGCTACAGTGATGGGAGGATTAACCCATATCCACCTTGCATATGGACTACTGTACTAAAACAGATACATTTTCAAGGACATCTTAATGGAACACATACAATTTGGTGTATTGGTTTATAACTAAACCGCTTAATGTTAAAGAAATGAACATACATTTGAAATAGAATCGCAGTAACTTACAATTCTGTTTCAGATTTGCTGATTTTGTTGAGGGCTCTTCTCACCTTATGTCAAATGAGGTGTCTGTCCATTCTCAGGAATATGGATTTGGAGGATCATTTTTTGAAGATGATATTTTTGACACTGACGATGAAGATTTAAAACCCACTACAGATCCACAGTGACACTTCTGAAATGAGACTTAACCGTTTGTTGACACTGGATTTGACCAGATTGGTCCAAGGACATTTATGGTAATGAATTTTGCCACAGATAATATACCGGACTTTGTTAAAAAGAACTCTAAGCTTAAAGCCATACATCCGACAGTGTGGTAGCTTTGAATTTAATTTTCTTAAATGTGCATATGTGTTTTTATTTTATCATAATAACATGTATTATTTGTCATTGTATCAATTTAGATTGTGAGAATGCATTTAAGCCAGAAGGGAACAGCTTTTCCATTTTCTTTTGTTAGATCCTCAGACAAATCTTTTAAATTTAGATTCAAGCAACTAATCTTTAATCCTTCTAACATGGAAATTTCCTACAGTTGCACTGTAACAATTTTCAATTTACGATGTTTGACTCTATGCACTATTGTGATCTCACATTTCTGTTCATGTTTGTAAACACCAGTATTTGACAGGTAAATGGCTTCAATTTAACTATGAAACTGACATTTAATTGTTCATAAGCTTTTTACTTTTTGTTTCGTTTGAAGAAGGGTTAGAGTTTCTGAACTGCTGACATATTTGCATGAGTTTCCCAGTGTCTCATTGGCATATTCTGCAGTGGTATCGCATTCATATGACGCTGCATTTGCTGGCACACATTTCCTTTAACCTTGTCATTGACAAGGAAGCCTCCCTTTTAATGCAAACAAATACTACACGTGCAGATCCGGGGAATCCCTGTTCATTAACATTATAGCTGGCACTGCAGCTGCCTCATGAAGGGACTTCCCCTTCACCTTATCTTCAACCTCACCACAGGGTAATTCAAACTATTGCTCCCAAAGATTTCTTTTATGGGTGTAGTGACTTAAACACTAGGAATATACACTTTATCATCCTTCATAATTATTACAATTTACGGTAGTTTACATTCTGAATATTTGCAGACATTCAACTAGTGCATCTTGTGTAAAAAAAATCTACAATGAATGTAAGCAGGAAACAATTTAACATTTTAAAAGTTGATGTTGAATCCCTTTGGCGTTTATTTAAAGCGTTTTAGGAATTCTGAAGGTCACTTGGAATGATTCCTCTCAAAGTGCTCAAAGGTCCAGTGTTTAAAATGATCCAGTGTTCGTGGCTTCTGAAGTCTCCAGTCAGTACTTGTTGATCCCAAATATTCGCACTCCGTGAAACTGGGGCAGCTTTGGTAAAAGGACGCTCAGAAGTGAGCTTGTGTTTATAAAGAAATGTGTAACGTCATATTTGGTGTAAAAACTTGCCAGTAAGTACCTGTGGAGGAAGGGGAAAAGATTAGACTGGAATTCTAATATTCATGTGACCATTTTGACAAATACCAGATAATGACATTTATAAATCTCAGCTAAGTTATACTGGGCCCTAGGTAATGTGGGTGGTTAATTTGCTTAGCAGAGAGGCCCTGTGACCAGCTCATCCAGATCACTGTTCGTTCACCCTGCTGCCGTGTGGAAACCGCGGATGAGAAGGAGCTTCTGTCCTGAAGCTATAGCATTTTATTTAAAAAATACTAATTTGCTTTCTAAATGAATCTTATTGAACAGCAAACTTAAACTCTTTGCAGCTTCTACAGTCAAAAGTGTCCATTCCCCAATTGTGGAATTTGAATTTCATTTATCTCTTTGCAAACGAGTGAGACTCATTGTACGGCCCCGTGTATATCAATTCAGTGCAGTTACTCACAGTACGATAGGAGAGATGGTGAGGAACTTGCGTGACGCAGTGAACTGAATCCCATAGTCCATTTGTTCCCAGTGCGTCAGCAGCCGAGCTTTGCCCTGGTCTGGGGTCTCAAACGGTGTCCCCTTCACAGTGTGCAGGAACAGGTACATCACCTAAACCAGACAAAGTGAATATTCATAATAAACTTGTACAAATATTAACGGCCATTATCAACTATAACTTACTAAAGTTACTATCTGAATTAACGGGGAAACCCCATTCCAATATGAATGGAAGTCCTCAATGAGCATACCCTGGTAGTGGAAACTATGGGTGGTCTGAAATGGACATTTTGGACTTTTGAAATATTAGGCCAATATTTGTTTGCTATAGAGCTCTGATTTTCTACCAGGAAGGACTAAAATGACTTTTGTTAAAAACTCAACTTACCGAATTTAGATAATAATAATGCATCGGTTTTATATAGCGCTTTTTTGGACACTCAAAGACGCTTTACATGTCATTATTCTTTCACTCCATACACGGTGGTAATAAACTACTACTGTAGTCACAGCTGCCCTTGGGCACACTGACTGAAGCGAGGCAACCAGTATGTGCCATGGCCCCTCCGACCACCACCAACCATTCACACACAAACCAGACTCATTCTAGGCAATGTAAAGTGTCTTGCATAAGGACACAACGGCAGTTTGGCACTTTACAGCCGCAGCCGCCCCACAGTGGCTGGTGTTTCCAGAGGTTAAGTGTCTTGCCAAGGACACAACGACAGCAGACAGTGGGAGTCGATGGTGAAAGTCAGGCTCGAACCCACGACCCTCTGGCTCAAAGGCCAATGCTCTACCAACTGAGCCACTGTCGCCCTTGCAATGCAATGTAAAGGCTCTACATTGCATCGTTAATTCATAATGTAATGCCTTAATTATTGCATTGAAGTGTCACAATCCCTATTACAACCGGAACACTGAATTGCCTTGCAAAAAAGCCACCAGGAATACATATATGCAGAAAAGAGAACCTTCAAAGCCACAGTTCATAAACACTGAAAAACATGACAATCATGATGTCCCATATTATCTGTGGTAGTGTACATGAAAATGTCTCGTGCAGGTTTGTAATGTATAATCTTAGATATAATAATAAAACTAACTAGAAACTTGCAATGGCTGAAGCCATTGCGATTGACTGCGGAACAGATCTAATGTGGAAATCTGCTAAAAAAAATCCTTGAAATCCTTTAAAAGGCCTTGAAACTGTTAAAATACTTGATAGATATTTGAAACTCCTGAAGTCCTTGAAATTGTTGAAACCTTTAAACTCCTGAAATCCTTGAAACTGTTGAAACATTGAAACTCCTGAAATCCTTGAACCTCCTGATATCCTTGAAACTGGTTAAATTCTTAAACAGTTGAAATCCTTGAAACTACTGAATGTATTGAAAGTGTCCTTGAAAGTGAAAAATCCCCTCACCGCTGAAACAATTTGGTTCCTGTAACTAAGGAAACCTGGTCTGTGGTCATTATCTGGTGGTGGTCTGAGTCTTCGTTTGGGTCTTGGTCTGGTGGTATAATGCAACCTATTAGGTTGCATTATACTGGTTTACATGGAAAAATCCCTATTAGGTTGCATTATACTGGTTTACATGGAAAAATCCCTATTAGGTTGCATTATACTGGTTTACATGGAAAAATCCCTATTAAGTTGCATTATACTGGTTTACATGGAAAAATCCCTATTAGGTTGCATTATACTGGTTTACATGTAAAAACCCCTATTAGGTTACATTATAGTGGTTTACATGTAAAAATCCTTATTAAGTTGCATTATACTGGTTTACATGTAAAAACCCCTATTAAGTTGCATTATACTGGTTTACATGGAAAAATCCCCATTAAGTTGCATTATACTGGTTTACATGTAAAAACCCTATTAAGTTGCATTATACTGGTTTACATGGAAAAATCCCCATTAAGTTGCATTATACTGGTTTACATGAAAAAAACCCTATTAAGTTGAATTATACTGGTTTACATGAAAAAAACCCTATTAAGTTGCATTATACTGGTTTACATGGAAAAAATCCCTATTAAGTTGCATTATACTGGTTTGCATGAAAAAACCCTATTAAGTTGAATTATACTTAATTATAATCCGTATTAGGTTGCATGATTACACTGAAGTCCTTGAAACTGTTGAAACCTTGAAACTGTTGAAACCTTGAAACTGTTGAAGTCCTTGAAACTGTTGAAGTCCTTGAAACTGTTGAAACCTTGAAACTGTTGAAACCTTGAAACTGTTGAAACCTTGAAACTGTTGAAACCTTGAAACTGTTGAAACCTTGAAATTGTTGAAACCTTGAAACTGCTGAAGTCCTTGAAACTGTTGATGTCCTTGAAACTGCTGAAGTCCTTAAAACTGCTGAAGTCCTTGAAACTGCTGAAGTCCTTGAAACTGTTGAAGTCCTTGAAACTGTTGAAGTCCTTGAAACTCTTGAAATCTTGAAACTGTTGAAGTCCTTGAAACTCTTGAAATCTTGAAACTGTTGAAGTCCTTGAAACTCTTGAAATCTTGAAACTGCTGAAGTCCTTGAAACTGTTGAATCCTTGAAACTGTTGAATCCTTGAAACTGTTGAATCCTTGAAACTGTTGAATCATTGAAACTGTTGAATCATTGAAACTGTTGAAATGTCTGAAAGAGCTGAAGTCCTATTAAAATGCATGGGCCTATTAAAATGCATTGCAGAATTCTCAATGCAAACTAGAAATGGTACAATGGCTGAAGCCATTGTGAGTGGCTGCATAGATGTTGGAAGGGTTAGGGATGAAGAAGGAAGAGGAAGGGGAAGAAGGAGGAAGAAGGAAGAAGTTGAAAGAAATGAAAGAAGAAAGAAGAAGAAGAAAGAAAAGGGAAAGAGGAAAGAAGAAGAAGAGGAAGAGGAAGAAGAAGGAGGAGGGAGGAAGAGGAAGCGGAAGAAGGAGGAAGAAGAGGAAGAAGGGGAAGAAGGGGGAGAAGAGGAAGAAGGGGAAGAAGAGGAAGAAGGGGAAAAGAGGAAGAAGGGGAAGAGGTAGAAGGGAAAGAAGGGGAAGAAGAGGAAGAAGGGGAAGAAGAGTAAGAAGGGGAAGAAGAGAAGGCGAAGAAGAGTAAAGTGCTAAATGTGTTGTAAGGTGCTGAATGTGTTGGAAAGTGTTGAATGTGTTGTAAAGTGCTGTAAGTCTTGTAAAGTGCTGTAAGTCTTGTAAAGTGCTGTAAGTGTTGTAAGATGTTGTAATGTATTGTATCTGTGGTAATGAATTGTTAGTGTGGTAATGTGTTGTATGGGGAGTAATCTGTTGTACTGGTCCAATGTAAGTCTATGGGAAAAAATGCTTGAACTTTTGTTAATATCTGAAAAAGTGCAAAAGGTGGAAGTGTGAAAAGTAATAGCAATAATGAGACGGTGAAGCCGGTCGTAACGATGTATAATTTGTTGAATTTGGTTAAAGCGTTGAAGAGTTGAAAAGTGCCAAAATCTGGCGGAAGTGGAAGAAGAATAAACAGTAGGAGAGCATATAGTGGCTGCATAGTCTATGATGCATAGTCCCAGAGCTCAAAAGATGCTTTTGTGCGGATCTTTTCCCTACTTACTTTTCTTTAGGTTTAATTGTGGGATGTGCTAGTGTTGTATCTTCTTCTCCGCAGAAGATGGGGTTTCCCGCACAAACCAGTATAGTGTTGGAGAAGGAATGCACTCTGAGTTATGTATTAAAGAAAGAGTTTAATGGCATAATCAGAATACATCAAGTCCAATTCAGGCTTAGCACTTTCAGCCTGGGTCAGCTCCGAGAATGAGGATGGTATGACTGACAAAGAACACATTAAGCACAGAGCTCTTATAGATGCGCAAGGGCAGGATGTCATAAATACTTGTCATTCAATAATCTTATAGACTAGTCCTGGTTAACTCAGTATCTCTGAGTCTTTCTTCCCTGAGGATCTCACTACATGTGGTTTTACTGCAAATGGTAAATAAATCGAATCTATAGACTATTATTGTCCCTCCAGATGTCCTAAGACACAATTATAACCAAACATGCATCCACAGGACATACATGTGCAGTCTCATGCATCCACAGGACATACATGTGCAGTCTCATGCATCCACAGGACATACATGTGCAGTCTCATGCATCCACAGGACATACATGTGCAGTCTAATGACACAGACGCTGCCGAGATGCAGCTGCGGGTTCTATTGTCTCCAACGTCACATCGGCCTTATGATTTAGATAAGTGACTTCCTGCCATTGCGTGCTCACATTATCCCAAAACACAATTTTACACATATGAAGATACATACATACTGTGTATTTATGTAGAATTAAAGAATATTAATAATAGCAGACACAACACTAGTCTGTGTCTACACTGACAGGAGACCTGACATGGGGGCGAAGGTTTGAAAGTATGTTGATGCTTTGGTGTTGACTGGTCAGTGAACGATGAGGGCCACGCACAATAAGAACAGTTTGAAGAGTTCTGAAAGTCCGTAATCTCTTTACTGCCTCTGAGCTGTTTGTTATCAGGACTTTAAATCTTCACAGGTGAGTTATAAAAGATAATAGAGCTGAACAGGCAGCTCTCATCACAGACGCAGACTCTTCCTGCTCTCTTGTGCCACGCTATGTTACCAAACCATAAAACTGAAGCTTCAACAAATAAAAGAAGGTGTTTTCGGACCACACCGCGTTCCATGTAAAACATTCTTGGGCTTCCCTCCAAGCACAGACTACTGTTGAAATTTATAGTCCTCTGTGTTTACCTAACCTTTTCTGCTTATTCAGCTGATTTCCTGCTTGCCAATCTAAGCAAATCTGATGTCTCTATTGTGCACTAACTGAGTCTTTTACTAGTTTAAGCAACTTAATCAGTGGAACTGCCACAGTGAAGTCAAATGAAGGTGAAAGTGAAGGTATATTACCATTTACACGTGTTGATTACTGGGCTCTGTCCCATTCAAACAGACAAACAAAAAATAAATGCATAGATAAGTAGTTGGATGGTAAATCAACTGATCCTGATTGTTGCAGTTCCAAAGTGTATGAAGGACCACACTATCTTTCAATAAAGATGCTTCAGAACATGACATCAAAAATAAAGAACAAAGAACACATC